ACGGTCCTGGGGCCCGGCAGGGCCCCTCAAAGGCCGAACGTAGCGAAAAATCTCCCGCCCTGCTTTTTGTTCCACAACTTGGGGGGGCCCGGGACTGCTTGGGAGGACCTGCCCGCGCAGACCCTCCCCCCCCTGGGATCCGACGCTGCCAAAAAATTGGAGCATCACAACCAAGTCACGACTGGACCCCCGGACCCTGTCTTTCTGCGTCACTTCTCGAGCCCCAGACCCCCTCGGGTCATGACAAAATCAGGACGGGAGGTTTTTGCTATATTTTCGGCCTCTGGGGGCCCTCGCTGGGCCTCGGGACCATCGAAAAACGACTCAGGATGAAGAACCATTCCCAGGGAATGGATCCAGACCTCTGGGGGTCGACGTTGCAACAAAAATCACAACGTCGGGGGTCTGGGGCCGGATCCAGGGGCCCGAAGTGGAGCGAAAGCGCCCGTTTTGGAACAAGTGGGTCGCCAGGATCTCTGGGCCAGCAGAGACCCGGACCCCCCCCCTCGAAGACGTCATGACCTTTTCACAACGTCGACCCCCCCAGAGGTCTGGACCCCTTCCCAGGGACCCGTCTTTCCTCTTGCGTCGTTTCCTGCCGGCCCCGAATCCCAGCAGGGCCCCCCAAATGCCGAACACATCAACCAACTGATTTCTTTTATTGAGCAACTTTCATTACAACTGTATGCATGTATGCATGCATGCATGCATGTATGTATGTATGCCTGTATGCATGCATGCATGCATGCATGTCGGTATGTATGTTTATGTCGATTTATTTGTCTATGTGTAGAATGATATCTGTATGTACATATATATATACACATACACACATATATATATGTATATATATATATACACTAGAACCACGCGCGCGCTTCGCGCGCGCTTAGGTTCTAGTTTGCTCCGAAAGCGGTGTTCGCAAGCACGGGTCCGATTCCGTGGCGATTCGCGGGAAATCTACGTCCGAAAATGACGTGTTGCCAGAGGCAGGTCCGCGGATGCTTTAATGCAACGTGTCCAGTGTATCCAACGATTGCATACTTGTTACATATGCTACATATTGTATTGTTCTGCAATATTATGCCCCCCCCCCTGGAGCCGCGCCACATCGTCGGACCAAATCTGGAGGGCCTCATTCTGGGCCTCAAAACATAGAAAGACCTATGGAAAATCAACAATTTCGGCGTGTTGGGCCTCTTGGGACTCCAAGAGGGCCTCAAGATGGCCGACGATGGCCCCAAGACAGCCCAAGACGGCCTCAAGACGGCCCAAAATGGCCCCAAGAGGGCCCATGAGGCTCCCAAGAAGATCCACGAGAGCACTCAAACCCGAACAATCTTTCCATGACACCCTCACCCTTAGACCCGAACCTTGAGACCGAAGACCCGAGCCCAGAAATCGAACCCGAACGCCTCAACATCTCAAATGAAGAGGCTCATCCCCGCTCCACCGTTTCCTCCTTCCTTCTGAATCCTTCCTTCTTCCACTTGCTCAAACTCCTCCTCCTCCTCCTCCTCCTCCTCCTCCTCCTCATCGCCCTCCTCCTCCCACTCCTCCTCCTCCTCCTCCTCCTCCTCCTCCTCCTCCTCTCCTCCTCCTTCTCCTCCTTCTCCCCCTCCTCCTCCTCCTCATCCCCCTCCTCCTCCTCCTTCTCCTCCTTCTCCTCCTCATCCCCGTCCCCCCCCTCCCCCTCCTCGTCCTCCCCATCCCCCTCCAATGCGCCGGGCCGGGCATGGTATGGAAACTGCCTTCGCCGACTCTCTGCCGCCTTGCCTCTTGGGGCCTCTTTGGGGCCTCTTAGGCACCTCTTGGAAGCCTCTTGGGGGCCTCTTGGGGGCCTCTTGGGGCATCCTGGGGCCTTCTTGGGGCGGAAAGCTTGGATTCTCGGTTCGGGCTGCCCCTCTTGGGCCCCTCTTGGGGTTGTCTTGGGGCCCGCTCGGGCCGTTTTGGGGGCCTCTTTGGCCGTCTTGGCGCCCTCTCGGGCCGTCTTGGGCGCCTCTTGGGAACCTCTTGGGCCGTCTTGGGGCGGTCGTGGGGGTCTTTTCGACCGTCTTCAACGCCGTGAAGGCCGAAAACATACATCTGCTAAAAATATACACTTTCATATTGAAAATCAATGATGTTTGCCTCTTGGAGCCCTCTTGGGGCGCCTCCTCGAGGCCTCTTGGGGCGCTTCTTGGAAGCCTCTGGAGCCGTCTTGGTTTCCATTTTGGTTTCCCGGGGCGCTCTTGGGGGGCCTCTTGGAGGCCTCTTGGGGCGGTTTGATGGCCTCTGGTCCCTTCTGGAAGCGATCTTTGGCGGTCTTGAAGCGATCCTGGGCTTCTCTCGGCGCTCTTGGAGCCTTCTTTGGCGGACTGGGAGGCCCGGGGGCCGCCCGAGGAGCGTCCCGGGAGGCCTTCCTGGGCTGTCTTCGGGCTATCCTAGGGCGCCTCGTGGGGCTTTCGGACCGCTCCGACAGCCAAGGGAGCTGATATCCTAAAAATGTACGTTTTACGAAGGGAATGGGGCCATTTTGGTCTCCCGGGGCGCTCTTGGGGGGCCTCTTGGAGGCCTCTTGGGGCGGTTTGATGGCCTCTTGGCCCTTCTGGAAGCGATCTTTGGCGGTCTTGAAGCGATCCTGGGGTTCTCTCGGCGCTCTTGGAGCCTTCTTGGGCGGACTGGGCAGCCCGGGGGCCGCCGGAGGAGCGTCCCGGGAGGCCCTCCTGGGCCGTCTTGGGGCTGTCCTCAGTCGTCCTGGAGCGTCCTTGGGCGCCTCGTGGGGCTTTCTGGCCGCTCCGACAGCTAAGGGAGCTGATATCGTAAAAATGTAACGTTTTACGAAGGGAATGGGGCCATTTTGGTCTCCCGGGGCGCTCGTGGGGGGCCTCTTGAAGGCCTCTTGGGGCGGTTTGAGCGCCTCTTGACCCTTCTGGAAGCGATCCTTGGCGGTCTTGAAGCGATCCTGGGGTTCTCTCGGCGCTCCTGGAGCCCTCTTGGGCGGGCTGGAACGCGCGGGGGCCGCCGGAAGGGCGCCCCGGGAGAGGGCCGCACCCTTTATACAAGGGGGGTTCCGGCCCGGGGCCCGGGGCCCGGGATCACCCATATATGTATAAAAACAGCGCGAGGGGGTCTGGGGACGGGCGATCGCGTGCGGCGCCGCGGTGTTCCGCGGCCGCGCTCGCTGGGAGCGCTGCGGGCACGGCGCCCCGCGGCGCCGACGGGGCCGCGCGGAGCGGCGACCGCCCAGCGCAGCTTCCCATCGGCTGGCGGGCGAAGAGCGGCAGAACACAAACTCTTCCGTTGCCCGGCGGTGGACACACCTCCCTTTCGCAAACCTCCCCTTAGGGAAAACGGCCTGGGACCGAAACCGACGGACCTGGACCCGCGAAGATGACGGCCGCGACGCCACCTCTCCAACCGAACACGGCCAATTCCTTAATCGGCGCGTCAGGGTAGTAGGTCTATCCACCTCCGAGTTACCGGGGGCGCTGCCCCAGGGCGGCTGGACAGTTTATACCTTGACGTGCCACCGCCGCCCTGGGACAAGCGCCCCCGACGGCGAGAAAATCTATTTTGTGCCGTTCTTCGCCCGTGAAGTCGGGCGAGGCTTAGGTCGGGCATGCCCTCCTACAAGCGGATTCTTTGGAAGGGAAATATAGTGGTCAAAAATTGTACAAAAATCGCCCCCAGACTATGTTTAGACTATTGCGCTTGTCCTCCTGACGAGGGCCATGCACCACCTAAGGCGAGCCTGGAACGCAGCTTCCCATCGACGGCGAGCGAGATCCGACGCAGCGAACAAAATTGCAACACGGCTGAAACATCACGACCGAAGCCCCCCTCGGGCCATGACAAAAACCACGACGGGAAATTTGTCACTCTTTTCGGCCTCTGGGGGGCCCTGCCGGTCCACGGGGCTGTCAGAAACTGACTCAGGATGAGAAACCGGTCCCGTGGAATGGGTCCAGACCTCTTGGGGTCGACGTTGCGAAAAAAACACGACGTCGGGGGTCTGGGAACGCAGCTTCCCATCGGCGGCGAGCGAGATCCGACGCAGCGAAAAAATGACAACATGGAGAAAACAATCACGACGAGAGCCCCAGATCCCGTTTTTATGTGCAACTTTTCGAGCCCGATCGATATGTGAACTTCCGAGCCTTCTGGGCAGGGGACTTCCGAGCCTTCTGAAAAGGCCTTCATCTTCTCACTTTCGCCCCTCGCTTGCCGCCGATCCCAGAGATCTCACGCCTTATAACAAAAATCCAGACGGACACGTTTCGTGATCTTCGGCCTCTATATATAGGGGCCCTCGCCGGGCCCCGGGACTGTCGAACACCGACTCGGTTTGAAAAGCCCGTCCTGGGGAATGGGTCTGGACTCCCAGAGATCCGACGTTGTGATTTTTTTCCATGCGGGGTCCCCGGAATTCTCGACCCATTCCCCAGGACCGGCGGCCCCGAGGCCGCGGCCCCCGAGAGGCCGAAGGTAGCGAAACACCTCCCGTCGTGATTGTTCCATTGCTCGAGGCAGTCTGGGGACTTCCGGGGGCCCCGCACCGAACAGCATCACGACATGTCGCATCTCTGGGCTCGCCGCGGTCGCGGCGGGCCTCTGCTCGGCCTGCCGAATTTGGCGAGGCCGCTCGTGGAGAGCTTTTCGGCAGCCGCTCGGCGCTTGGCCGCAGCCTCTTCGGGTCTCGCCGAGGCGAGCCGGGCCCGCGAAACGAGTCGCATCGAATCGGGTCGTAGGCGGCCCTGGCAGGTGTCGTGTTGGGTGGCCCGCAGTCGGCGGCGAGCGAGGGGGGGAAACGAGAAGGAGAAGGCCTTCTCAGGAGGCTGCGGGACTTCTCAGAAGCCCTCGCGCCTTCTGAGAGTTTTTTGTCTTCGGGGAAGGCTTAGAAAACTTCTCAGAAGGCTGGGGGACTCCCGAATCTTCTGAGAAGGCCTTCTCCTTCTCACCTCCCCCCCTCGCTCGCCGCCGCCGCAAGCTCCGGCGGAACCGAGCGGATACTGCTGCGGATGATGGTGAGGATGCTGGGTATTGTTAATGCCGCCATGGTGGCTGACCGTGGTCCCGGTCCGTCTTGAAAGTGGCCGGAACGGGGCGCATCCTGGCGGTTCTAACAAAAAAGCGGCACCTACGCGCTGAGAGCAGCTACACCGTGGGCGCTGATTGCGCTCCCCTGTGCGGAATCTACCGTGCAATGCCAGCGCCTGGGTCCCAAACAATCGATTCGTTTCTCGACGTGTGTGTGTATGTGTGTGTGTGTGTGGTGTGTGTGGTGTGTGTGTGTGTGTGTGTGTGTGTGCGTGTGCGTTTGTTCGTTTGTGTGTGTGTGTGTGCGTTTGTGTGTGTGCGTGCGGCATTTTATGTGCGGAACCCCTTGCGTGGCAGTGGCAACCCGTGTGTGGAACCCTCGGTCTGTGTGTGCGTGTGTTTAACCTTCTGTGTATATAATGCTGTCTGTGGAGCCCGACACGTGGAACCCGAGGTGTTAAGCTCTACTGTGCGTGTTGAGCCCTTGTGTGTGAACACCTATGCGTGTGCGCGGGGACTTCTGTGTCAAGGCCTATGCGTGTGTGTGTTTGTCGTGGAGCCATATATGTGCCGAACCCTGCGTATGGAACTGCATGTGCGTGGAACTCTTGGTTAGTGGGACCATAAGTGTGCTGAACCTTCTGTGTGGAAGCCTATTTGTATGGAGGCCCACGTGTCGGAGTGCGTTGAGCCCTGTGTCTACGGAGCCCTTTTTGCGAACCCCTGTGTCGAACTCTCTGTGTGCAATCCAATGTGTGTGTGTGTGTGTGTGAAACTCCACGTGTATGTAGCCCTCTGTGAAGCACTCACTGTTTGTGGAACCCAATGTGTGTGTGTGTGCTGTTTCCCTCTGGTGCCCCCCTGGCTGGTAACACATGGTGCCATTGTCCTGGCAGGTGTCGCGCGGAAGAGCGGCTCGAAAAAACGCAAGGTGAGGCGCGAGAAGGAAGAGGTGGAAACATAATGAACGAGAGAGGAAAACACAGTGCAACGATGGTGCATCATAGTAGCTCGCAGGGCCCGCGGGGGCAGGCGCCAGGCTTCCACGAGGTACCCTCTTTCTTTCGTTTTCTCTCTCTCTCTCTCTCGTTCTTTCTTTCTTTCACTATTTTTTTTCTCTCCCTCTCTCTCTCTCTCCAAACACTTCCCCCTAAACTCTTATCACACTTACTTACCTTACTGGAGACCAGACAGCACCTGGTGTAAGTCAGGGTTGGCCTCTGGACTTCCCGAACAACCTGTTCGGTCTATCATGCGCTCCTTTTGCGTGCGCCCTCTCTCAATGAAGCACATGCCGAATGGTGCGTTGAGGCGTTCCCATGACAATCATGCCGTTTTCAAGATCTCCCCGAGAAAGCCTTGGAGGAACCTCGAAATGCAACAAATACTCCACGTTGTGTAAATATTTTCCAGGGGCGCGTTGGGCCCATTCCAATGCTTGCACTGAAGGGGTCTTTGCGGATGTTCAGAGATTTGGCGAAAATGCCCCGCCGATTTTGGTCGCACGCTGGGTTCCCGGGTTCCCGGGTTCCGGGTTCCCGGGTTCCCGGTTCCCTGGCCGATTTCGGTGGGCGGCGAGGTTCCCAAGTTCCCGGGTTCCTGGTCGATCTTCTTATCGATCGGTCTCAGCATCGATCTCATTTCCCACCTCTGTATCGATCTCACAATCGATCTCGCAAGCGATCTCACTAGAGATCGCACGAGCGATCTCGCGATCGATCTCCCTATCGATCTCATTGAATCGATTTGACTCTCGGTCTCACGATCGACCTTACAATCTTCCTCTATCGATTCCACTATCGATCTCATTCTCGATCTCACAATCGATCTCAAGATCCATATGACTAATTTTCAAATCATCCACTGATTGGGTTTTCTCAGGTGTAACATTACTTGAAGTGAGCCAGGTCGTTCCTCGGTATGACGCCACGAAGGTTCAGGAAGCCGAGCCTCCAAACAAAGACAATGATCACATGGCTACAATACATTCTACCACCACTGATATCCTAGAGGGTTCTGCGACACCTTAAGGCAGTTTCGAATGCCCTACTTGACACCCTAGGAGCTCCAAGGCGAGCCCAAGAAAGCATTGGACGGTACACGCAAATCACAAAAGCCCAACACGCCTCTAGACGGGTTCAAAAGGATTGCTCCGGTGCAGTTGCAAGCGTCCCGAATTCTGCTCCAACAAGCCCCATGGGGATTCAAGACATCAGGTCCCTGAAGTCGGAAGCGGTACCACGACGCATGCTTCCAAAATGAGCCAGGAGCATCGGAAGAGCCGCGTCGGGACACAAAGACACCCACCGAAGCGCTCCCAAGCACTGCCACTCGATACTTGTTACTCACGCTTCGCGCCGCTCCAGGAATGCAAAATCATGCTGTGCTCGCTCCATGAAACCCCAAACACCTTCAAGCCGATGAAGTGATGACTCCGGAACGCCAGACGGTGCAATTTCTGATGCGGCCTCAAATTTTGCACACGCGACAGCGGATGGGCGGAGGCCTCTAGATTTTACACGGCTGGTCCACACCATACTGGTCCATCCCGCGCCCCAAGGGCGCACAGCGCGCTGCATGTACAATGAAACTGTCACGGTCTGCGCGGCTACTCACTCGACTTCAGGGACTTCTTTCAATTTCTGTTACTGCCTTTTTCACGTGCGTCCGTACCCTTCCCGACGAACGACGGGAACGACGTTGTGCTCCTTCGCAACTTGACTGCCTTCATGCTCGTCCTTGAGGTTCTTGGGCCACCATCACCGGCAGCCTGCAGTGACAAATGGGTTACCTCATGCTGCCAGTTGTCCAGTCTTTGGCTCTGATCTTGTTCGCCGTCCTGGCTCTGGGTGGCTCTGTCGTTGATGCGCCCGAAATTCACGTCCATCAGCAGCCGCATTAACAGCAAGAAATCGGGGAAATCGAGCACGCCGCTTTGAACGTGGACAGCCTCGAAGACTTCACGCTTTCGTTCGACTTCAAGAAAGTACACTGCAAGCTCACAAGACTGCCTGTCCCCGAGAGGAACTATTGCAGTAATCAGATCCTTCACGTCATCGAAGGTCATCCCACCGTTGCGCGTTGCATGTTCATCTGGGTCCTTCCCTAAGAAGAGTTCCCTGAATCCCTCGACCTCCAATGGGCTGAACTTTACTTGCTGCACCACTGTTCTCAACTTCTCGTACTTCTCGTCGTCTTGTACTTCCTGCAAGAGCCTCATGGCCTTCAAAAACTCTTCGAAACTCAAGCAACCATCTCTGTTATGGTCCGCCTGCGCTATGACACTCTCGAATCTGGGTCGCATGGTTTTTGTGTGCGCCATATTCGGAAACGTGTCCTCCAAAAGCCTGATAAGATCCTTGTGCTCAATGCGGCCGAGGCCTCCGCTCTCGTAGTATTTGAACGTCTTTTTCAGCTCCACTACCTCCTTTGGAGAGAAGCCCATGCATTCCCGGAACTGCTTTCGGGTGTCCCTTTTGGCGATTTGGAAGATGGCCAGCAACTCTCTCAAGTCGACGCTGCGGTCAACGCTGGGTCCAACTCGGTCGAGCTCCTGGGTAATCACCCCCCTGATCATCTCAGGGACGAGGCCGCATGTCTCCGTTGTCTCGCATAGCTCCTGGAACACGGCACATGCGTCGCTCTCATGCAACCTTCCAGATTCTGTGACGTCTGCCTTCTTGAACATGGCCGCGATCTGCGCGCGTTCCTTCTCCTGGTAGAGCCGCATCATCTTCCGCAACTCTCCCAGGTCAAGCAGCCCAGAGTTGTTAACGTCCACCTTGGCCGCTGCCAACAACGCAACGTCGATCGGCAGTGCGTAGCCAAGCCAACGCAGCAGCTTTCCGACATCCCTTGTGTGGATCTCTCCCTTAGAATGCGTGTCGAATTTCTCGAAGGCCTCCTGAATCTCCTTTGCCTCGGAACAGCAGAAGCCCTCCCGCGAACGGTATACGGTTAGCTGCTGCCATACAGAACTGAGGTCCATAGCTTCTAAGTCCTCGATGCCGGCCGAGACTCCAGCCTCCTGGAGCGCGACCAAGTCTGGCCAGTAGCCCAACATGCATGTAATGTTGTACAGCTCGTCCTGCGATACAGTGCCGTTGTTGTCTACGTCGCTGAGCCGTATGCAGCGTGATATCTTATCAATCTCGCGTTCGCGCACCTTGCGCATGCACATCAAATACTCGCGCGGGTTAAGGGTACCACTGTGGTCGACATCGACTTCACCTAGGATATCCTTGGCTTCGTTGAGGTCGCAAGCGTACCCCAACCAGCCAAGTATAGCTGTGAGCTCTTGCGTGTCGATCTCATCCGACCCGTCAAAATCGAACTTCTTGTACACGTACGTGAGCTCCTCGTACTCTCTTTTCGTGAAGCCCTCCCGGTTTCGAATGAGGTCCATCACGCTCTCGAATTCTACCAAGTCGAGGGTGCCTTTGCCATCCGCGTCGGTCTCTTCAAAGACCTCGTCCAAGACGTGCCTCATCGGCTCTATGCCGAGACTCTTGAGGAGGTCGCCGAGCTCGGACCTCTCCAGCTCGTTGGACCCGTCCGTGTCGGCCTTCCTGAAAGCCTCGACGTAGGCCTGATCTTTTAAACCCGCGGCAGCAAGACACCAAGCTTGTGTTGTGATTGTAGAGACGATCCACACAACGCGGCGGTCATTAACAACAGCTATCTTTAGGTCGGGCATGCCTACAGGCGGATGTTCGGAGAAGAATCAGACACACATTCAAGACATGTTCAAACACATTTTACACATACTAAAGAAAATGTCCCCATACGGGTTTCTGATTAAATTTGAGTTTTCCTTCTGTAGAGGGACACGCCCGACTTAAAACTACCTCCAGACCTCTCTTGAGGTGCGCTCTGGTCGGTCTTTCGAAGGGAATCCAGCCGTGGCGACGAGGACGCTCCAGAATGCCTGAGACGGTCCAGCAACGCCCAGAATCCCGAGCGCTCGATCCTGGAACCCTCTCTACCCTTCTACATTTAGGTCGGGCATGTCCTCCTGCAGGCGGATTTTGGACGAATAATGTGAAATAGTCAAAAGATACCCCCCAAAATGCTCAAAAATACTAAACAAATCGTCCCCATCCTGTTTTATGTTGAGTCTTCCTTCTGTAGAAGGACAGGCCCGACTCAACCCAACCTGCCATGAGGGTCGACCATATGGTGTATGACATGGGGGCGATCATCCGCCTGCGCGCTCTCGGCGTGCAGGCGTCCACCCACCCCCCGACCTCACCCCACCTGAGGTCGTCAACACCGCAGCGACCCCCCGCGAGGCAACTCTGGAGTTGGAAAAAGAGAAAACGGGAACACACATAAACTCTTGGCACTCCACGCGGATTTCTTGCATCCAAAAAATCTGCGCGGAGCGCCAACAGTTTATGTTTACGGCATCTGGCGCTTTTCCCTCTTCGATGAGTGGCGAGCAAAAAAAGCCTTGGGCACCAAGGCGCGGCGGCCCAAATCGGATCGGACGAACATCGGGCCAGGCGAAAGGGGGGGATAGCAAAGGGGGGGTTTGTGAATCAGCTCGCGTAGCTGATTTTCTCGGAGCCTCCCGGCGCCGGAGGCGGCTATGTATCGAGGAATGAGCCCCTCGGTGGGGCCGAAACCAGCTGCATGCAGCAGATTTCGTACCCCCCCCCTCCCCTATCCCCCCCCTTCGTTCGGCCCGAGAACAGGAGTGGATAGCTAAGGGGGGGCCAGCGAATCGGCTCGCGCCGCTGGCTTCCCCGGGCGCGTTCCTGGCGCTGGAAGGCGCCCATCTGTATCTGAAGGGGCCCTGGGACACACAAATAAAGACACAAATAACAGGATGCCCATATTTTCCAATATTTTCTGGGTTTTCGTCTTCCCCACCCCTTCCCACATTTTCCTGGAGTTCGACGATTCATTGTGTCTGTGCGTTTCTCCCCCTCCTGACCATCTGTATCGAGGAACGCGCCCCGCGGCGGGGCCGGAACAAGCTGCGTGCAGCCCGCCTCGTAGCTCCCCGTCCTCTCCTCCGCTCTCTGCTCACGCGAGCCCGCTTCGAGCCGCGCGCGCGCACTGCTCGCGGTTGGCGCCGGAGACCCCGAGCGAGGGAGGCCACGCCCCCTCTTCCGGCGTCCTCCGTCCTTCAACAGCGTCCGCGCACCCACATCGTGGAGGTGTTCTGGAAACGTCGCACTGTTCAACAACATACCGATGTGCGTTGGTCACAAAGAATGCGCGCGCGCAAGCGGGGTCGGTGGCGCGGGCACTCGCGCGCAAGCCTGCAGCGCAGGGTCGCGCGTGGGCGCCGCCGTTCCCGCGCGGCCGTGCTGCGCCGGCGGCCCGCGTGGGCCCCCGAGCAGGTCAGGACCAGGCGAAGGTCGGCGGCGAGCGAGGGGGGGGAAGTGAGGAGGGGCGGGCCTTCTCACTTCCGCAGGCTTTCTGGCAAGTTCCCCAGGCATTCCCCGAAGACACAGAACACCTATCAGAAGGCGCGAGGGCTTCTCAGAAACCCCGCCGCCTTCTGAGAAGGCCCGCCGCCTTCTGAGAAGGCCCGCCCCTTCTCACTTCCCCCCCTCGCTCGCCGCCGACCTTCGCCTGGTCCTGACCTGCTCGGGGGCCCACGCGGGCCGCCAGCGCAGCACGGCCGCGCGGAAACGGCGGCGCGTACGCGCGACCCTGCGCTGCAGGCTTGCGCGCGAGTGCCCGCGCCACCGACCCCGCTTGCTGGCCTCCCTGGCTTGAGGCCTCCGACGCAAACCGCGGGCAATGCGCGCGCGAGGCTCGAAACGGGCTCGCGTGAGCAGACGCCCTTCGCCAGCACCTCCGCTCATGCTGCCCGGCGGCGTCAGAGCGAGGCGGACGGCCAACTGGGATCCCCAGCCCTCCCTGGCTGTATCCTGCCCCCCCCCCGCCCCGCCCCTGGCCCCCCACGACGCCGTGGGCCCAACCCAGCCTGGCCGCACAGCCCCCCCCCCCGCCAGAGTAAGCAGAAATAGCAACATAGCCAGGGCGACTACGAATTACCATGATGGAGGAAAGAGGACATTGACCCATTCGCGTGAGCTGGAGGCACTTGCTCCGATAATGCAACTTACATGGCATATGGACACGATGGAGCAACGTAAGTAACACAATCGGCTAACACGCAGTGTACGATGAGTGCGATGTAATGTAACACGCGAGCTCTTCCAACTCTCTCGCCGCCTTCTCCTCATCCTTTCATCCCACTCTTGCTCATCCTCCTCGTTGTCGTTCTTCCTCCTCCGCCTCCTTCAAGTTTGCCCCCTCCTGGCCAATCCTGTAGCGCGTTCTGGGCAGGATTTCGACGCAAGTCCGGCTGAGGCGGCGAAGGACCCTCAGGAGGGCCCAAAAGCACGAACGGCGTCCAAGTCCCCCGTACACCTCCCTGCCCCTCCTCCCCCTCCTCCCCCTCCCTCCTCCTCCTCCTCCTCCTCCTCCTCCTTCTCCTCCTCCTCCTCCTCCTAACATCTCCTGTTCCTCCCCTCTCCTCCTCCTCCTCCTCCTCCTCCTCCTCTTCCTTCCTCCTCCTCCTCCTCCTCCTCCTCCTCCTCCTCCTCTTCCTCCTTCTCCTCTCTCTTCCTTCCTCCTGCTCCAACCTCCTTCTTATTCTTCTTCTCCTTCTCCTCCTCCTCCTCTCCTCCTCCCACCTCCTCCTCTCCTCCTCCTCCTCCTCTTTCTTCCCCTCCTCCTCGTCCAACCTCCTCCCTCCTGCCTCCTCCTCCTGCCTCCTCCTCCTCCTCCTCCTCCTTCTCCTCCTCCTCCTCCTCCTTCTCCTCCTCGTCCCTCGTCTCCCTCCTCCTCGTCCTCCTCCTCCTCGTCGTCGTCGTCGTCATCATCCCCCCTGCCCCTCCCCCTCCTCCTCCTCCTCCTCCTCCTCCTCCTCCTCCTCCTCCTCCTCCTCCTCCTCCTCTTCCTCCTCCTCCTCCTCCTCCTCCTCCTCCTCCCTCCTCCTCCTCCTCCTCCTCCTCCTCCTCCTCCTCCTTCCTCTTTCCTCCTCCTCCTCCTCCTCCTACCTTTCCCCCCCCCCTCCTCTTCCCACTCCCCCTCCCCCTCCCCCTCCTTCTCCTCCTCCTCCTCCTCCTCCTCCTCCTCCCTCCCTCCTCCTCCTCCTCCTCCTCCTCCTCCTCCTTCTCCTCCTCCTCCTCCTCCTCCTCCTCCTCCTCCTCCTCCTCCCCGAAAGGGCGTAACCGCAGGAGGCCGCCAACGACGGCGACGCCGCAGGCCTGCTTCTGCCGCATGGCGTATGCGCGGACGAGCTGCACGAAGTCGTCCGCGCCGATCGCGCTGTACTGGGTGATGGCTAGGGAAACAGAGCAGTGACTGAAACCCAGACCTCTGAGGATCGGGCTACACATCGCGCCGCATCGCCGATGCATTGGCGACGTCGGCGATGCATTGGCGCTGGCGGCGTGGAGAACATCGGGCTACACATCGAGCCGCATCGCCGACGCATCGGCGATGCGGCGCGATGCTCCGACCCCCCGACGCCATCTGCTCTGGCCCCATTCGGGGACGCACTACTGTGGAGGCCCGTCCACAAGAAACCTTCCACAATAAACCCAACCCTGAGACCCCAGGACGTCAAACTTTATTTTTGGCGTGGGAGCGTCACGCTGTCCATCGGAGAACCATCGAAACCCAAGAAACCTGGGGCACCCTGGAGGCAAGCATGGTGTCTCTTGGCATGGGCCTCCACTGTATGGTCTTTTCAATCCGGCGGACTTTCATCGATCTCCGCCTCCGGGGCCCGCCATCGTGCCCGGGGACCATCAGACATGGATCAGGGACCTGGCCATCGCTCGGACGTCCATTCCACGTGCATTTTTCGGTTTCGTGCGTGGTTTTTACGCCAAAAGGTCAAGGATGCTCCTCGATGGTCCTCGCCGGAGGAAAAATCCACACGTCCGAGCGATGCCAAGGGACGGTAAACCACCCCGGGGGGGTGGGTCGGGACTTCTGGGGCCGCGGATTGAAAACACAAGATTGGCGGCTGTCTGGGAACATAAAGCAACTTGGAGGTCCGCGCGGACTCCTCGGATCGGCGCTGGGGCTCCCAGGTTGTGTCCAGCGCAGCCCCTGGCGCGCTCCGCGCGCCAGGGCGGGGGATCCGGCGCCGATCCGAGAAATCCGCGCTGAACTCCGAGTGTTTATGTTTATGTCATTGTTTGTTTCCCTGATGGTGTAGTAGACGTCGTCCACCCAGCCCTGGTCCTGGTCGTCGTCGTCGTCGTCGTCCTCCTCCTCCTCCTCCTCCTCCTCTTCCTCCATCCCTGAAGCCCCGGCGTCGCGATTGTTACAGCATGGGCGATCTTGCAATGTTTCGAGCCTCGGGACCTTGACGGAGCGATTTGGCTCGCAAGATGCACGAAAGATCGAGTCCGGGGCTCTGGTCGAGCTCTCTATTCGATGTTGTATCTTTTTCGTGACGTTGGATCTCAGGGTCCTGAGATCCTCACGGGGGCAGGGCGGGGGGGAAGGAGGGGGGGAAACCGGGCCAAGGGGGCGGGCGGGAGGGGGGGGCACAAGGGGGGGGGAAAGGGGGGACAGCGGCGAGGGCGGACAAGGGGGGGGGTAGGGGGGGCGAGGGGGGACAAGGGGGGGGGGGCAAGGGGCAAGGGCCCCCCGCCCTTAGTTCGAAGGTGAAGGTGCTCAACAGATCTGGGTCGGCGAGGTTCGATGATCAAGGCCTGCAGGCCTCCTCTGGGCCGCGGCGGGGTCGCCCAGGTAGCCACGGCGGGGCCCCTGTCAACACCTGGGCCAGGGCGTCCGCCGAGGCCGGGGTTGGGAGTTTTGTCGTCGCTGCCAGCGTCGTCCCTCTTTTCTACGAGACCTACGCTGCATCACGGCAGCAATTCGGCCCCTGACTTTCGTCCTGGGTTCGGTTTAGTGAAGTGATGAATTTCGGAGTCCTTGCGTGGGAAAAACATCATTTCACTAATCTGGGGCCCCTGGGGCCTCAGTGGGCCCTGGGGCCCAAAATTAATGAATGATGGTTTTCGGGCCTCGGATTTTCTTCTGCTTGTGGAGCCCAAAACCTGGATAGTGGGGCGCCACCAGGAGGGCGTGCAGAGGCCTCCCGAAGGAGCTCGGGAAGCTCCTGGAGAGTTTCTGGAGAGCTTCCGGGCAGACGCAATCGCAAAAACTTCGAAAACATGCCTGCGGGGACACGCTGCGACCTCAGACCGGCCCCGCCGAGGTGTTCTGCCGGAAGCCGGAACGACCTCCGGGGCTACCCTGCGGTGCCGGCTTCGAATCTGAAGCCCTCTTAGCTCTACACGAACTACCCCGTAACAGTCAAAGCTGGTCGTGAGGATGTGCGACAAGGAGGATGCAAGCCCCTTGGACGCCCGTGTCGAGGCTTTGCGAACGTGCCTGGCCATCGAACGTGGTCGAGGAGATGGACAGACGAGGCAAGCACGGGTGGCCCCCTGGTCGCAGGGGCCGGATTCGCCCCGAGCTGCTGGTCGGAAGGCGCCCCAGGGAGAGGCCCGAGGGTCGATGTTGAGGAGCAGTCGTCGTCCTTGTCCTCGTCCTCGTCGTCGTCGTCGTCGTCGTCGTCGTGGTCCACCCCCTCAAAGTCGGCCCGCGGATCTCTCTCTCTCTCTCTCTCTCTCTTTCTCTCGCTCCTGTAGCGCACTCTGTCAAGGATGTCGAAGCGAATGTGGCCGCCTCGACGAGTGCTCCCCCAGCAAAACAATGCCCAAACCTGCGATCGTGGGCGAAAAGGTCATGCTGGTGGTGGTGGTCGTCGTCTGGCATGCGGGATCGTGGGTCATGAAGGGAAGAAGTCCTGGACAACAGGGCGAGGCCAATCTTCATCCCACGTTTATTTCTCACACTCGGACGAAAACAACGACAAACACATTCATTATGACTCCGATTTTTCAAGACCCCTGACCAGACCACTGACTTTTCAGTTTAAGAAGAATTCGCACACATATATGTATGTTGACACACACACACTGCGTAGCTTTCACTACTTCGCTTCATTCTCACGACGCAATGTCAGTTTAACTTACGTTTCGTGTGTACCATGCATTCTTACACATTCTCTGTTTACTCCGTCTTTCGGCCGCGCGAGAATGTCGAAAACCGTCCAAAACCTTACTCGCCGACGCGTGGACACCATCATCGTCATCGGCGTGACCAGCATCGGCGTCATCATTTGCCTTACCATCGTCATCGTCATCACCAACATCGCTGCAATCATCAGCGCGTCTGCCGTTGTCGACGTCGCCGCTTTGCGCGGGAGCCTGCTCGCGCTAACGCGGCCGCAGGGATGCGCCAGTCAGCGCCTGGCAGGCATCACAACTGCCGCATCATGGGTATTGCAAACCAAATTGCGGGTGGGTGGGCGGGATGAACCCCGAGAGCAGTAGAGTTGACAACTCATTACTGAACATGCGCTAATTCTCCTTTCTAAAAAGAAAATAGACTCTACCCCCCCCCGGACTTAACGCTTACCCCTGGGATGGTAGAATTTCATATACATATATACACATATATATATATATATATATATTTATTCTGCACACCCGTCCATCTCAAATATGAAATCATATCATCCCAGCCAGGCCGGTATCCCCCCCCCCTGCGGTTCCCTTGTAAAGAAAAACACTATGCGGTGACATTGTTTGTTCTAGCATAACATTTTTTTCAGGAATCCCTTGCGAAAAATAGGACGAAATGCACACGCGCGCGTCGTCGCGCGCGCATGCCGAAATCCTTCAAAAACCTTCGGTGCCGGACGGATTTCGCAATCGAGTTTCCAAAAAACATACAAAAACACATGGTTGCGCAACACTGATTTGCTAAAACAGCTTCCGCGCGAGCTCTTGCGAAATCTGGGAAAAACCATGGTTTTTCAAGATTTTCACAAAATGCTACCAAACGGGCTTCGCGCGCGCATGTCGAAATCTGTCGAACGCCGTTGCGCGTGTGCCGTCGCGAGAATCCTCTGCAAAAAATTGGACGAAGTGCAGACTCGCGCGTCGTCGCGGGCGTATGCCGAAAACCTTCAAAACCCATCGGTTTCGGAAGGATTTCAAAATCGCGCGTCCAAAAAACCTACAAAAAACCAGGGTTTCGCAACACGGATTTTCAACAAAAGCGTGCGCGCGCGCTCTTGCGTCGTCGTCGTCGTCGTCGTCGTCGTCGCCGTCCTCCCTCCTCCCGCGTCGTCGTCGTCGTCGTCGCCTACGTCGTCCAATGTCTTTTCTCGTGTTCGTCATCGTCGTCCTCTTTGGCGTCGTGGTCGTTTCCGTCGTCGTTGTCGCCGTGGTCGTCCTTCCTCCTCCTCCCACGTCGTCGTCGTCGTCCGTCGTCGGCGTCTCGTCGTCGTCCCTCCTATTTCGTCGCCGTCGTCGTCGTCGTCGTTGTGGTCGTCGTCTTCCCTCCTCCCTCGTCGTTGTCGTCGTCGGCGTCGCCGTCCTTCCTCCTTCGTCGTTGTTTGCGTCGTCGCCGTCCTCCCTCCTCCCTCGTCGTTGTCGTCGTTGTCGTCGTTGACGCCGTCGTCGTCCTTCCTCCTCCCTCGTCGTCGCTTTCGTTGGCGTCGTCGTCGTTGTCTTCGTCGTCGTCGGCGTCGTTGTCGTCGTCGAAGTCGTCGGAGACGTCGTCGGTGTCGTCCTAGTCGTTGTCGTCGGTGTCGTCGTAGTCGGTCTGAAGAGGTTTTGCAAACCACGTTGCGGGTGGGTGGGTGGGATGTTTGCGCGAGCAGCGGAGAGGACAGCTTCAAGACGGTCAAAGTGGACTGCACCACGTAGATGGCGCCACATAAACTGTTCCACGTCGGTTCTCCTTTCTACAGAGAAATTGGGATCTCTCCAAATTTCTCGGTGCCTTCCTGGGATAATGCCTCTTTGCCACTTGCAAGTGGTTCTGCCCCATCCCCCATTTTAGAAATAAACCCGGCGCGGCCCTAATTGGGGAACAACTTCTTACTGCATAAGCGCAAAGCTTGGATTTGCTTGGCGTTGCTTGCCATGGCTTAGCAATGCTCGGCATGAGGCGCCCGGGGGAGCCAGGGAACCCAGGGAATTTTGGCATGAGGCACCCGAAGGACACCGGAAACCTGGTGAATCTCCTTGGAACGGGCAAAGTGGGGTCACGAGACACCACTCTTCAACCAAGTAGAAGCCCTCTAGGCAAGCTAAATTGGGGAATGATTCTATACAGTCGCAGCCCAAACCCCTTATCGACGCCCCCCCTTCATTCCTGCCAAATGATATCATGCGGGCGCATTCTTGCATCCAAAAATCACAAAATCCAAACGATCCGGTCAAAGAACAAAACCCACGCGCTCGCGGCGTCGCGCGCGCATGTCGTAAGTCTACAAGCTCCTTAGGTGTCGCAGAGATTTCGAGATCGAGGTCTCCGAACGCATGCAAAAGACAATGGCTACGCAACGTTTTTTGTCGAACAAATTATCGCGCGTGCTCTTGCAAACTCTTTTGGGAATCGCTGGCGTCCCAAAAGATTTCCTGACATGCGACCAGACGGGCCTCTCGCGCGCGCGTCGAAATCATTCGAACGACCTTGCGCGCTTGCTGGGGGGGGTCGGGGGGTGGGGCGCGATCCTTGCTAAAGATACCATGCGCCCCAGTCGCGACCGTCGGCCGCGCGCGAGTCGAAATCCTTCCAAAACCTTCACCGCCGACGCGTGGACGCAATCACCGTCATCGGCGTGACCAGCATCGGCGCCGTCGTTGGCCTTGCCGTCGTCATCGCCATCATCGTCACCGTCATCGCCGATACCATCATGTGTTCGCTTTCGCCAACGTCACCGTGATACCGCGCCCGCCCGGATCACGACTCAAGCTAAAGAGCCCGCGCGTCACCGAATGTGTTTTCCTTCCCCAGAAAAGAATTAAGATCCCCCTGGTTTATCGAAGCCTTTGCGCTCGTGCAATTTACGCATGATGTTGCCCCATCGTTGGATTTGCCCCGTCGTTCTTTTTGAATACACTTTCATACAGTCCCAGTTAAATCCGCTATCACCCCCCAGGGGTCCATGTCAAACTAATCTTAAAACGCTACGCGCGTACGCCATTTTATCGCAAGTGGTCACTTTTTCAAACACCCCGCACACAGAAACAAGACAAACTCCACACGCGCTCGGCGCTCGCGCGCATGCTGGAAGTGCTCAAAACGGTAAATTTCCCAAGGATTGAGACATCGAGTTTTCAGACATCATATAGAACAGGCGGTTGCACAACATGTTTCTAAAAAAGGACGAACTGCGCGCTCGCGCTCTTGCGAATTCCTACGAACACCACTGGTCTTCAATTTACATCAAATGTGACGAAGCGGCCGGCTCGCGCGCGCATGTCGAAATCATTCGAATGCCCTTTTCGCGCTCGCTGGGGGCATGATCCCTGTCCAAACAAGGCCACGCGGGCCTCTCGCGCATGCCTCGGAAGCCTTCACCACCGACGCGCGGACGCCATCATTGTCATCAACATGCTCAACGTCGGCACCGTTATTGGCAGAGGTGTCGTCATCGTCATCATCGTCACCAACATCGCTACTAACATCATCGTGGCTGCCAGTGCCGGCGTCGCCGTGATACCGCGCCAGCCCGAATTATCGACTCGCACAGAAGAGCCTGCGCGTCCGCCCGGCCTTCGAGCCGCGCTGGGGAGTCTCGAGCGAACAGCGCCACCGCGGCTGCGTCGGTCGCGCCAGACTCGATGGCCGTTCTGCGCGCGAGCCTGCGCGCGTTAATGCGGCCGCACCGATGCGCCAGCCAGTGCCAAGCAATCATCGCAATCACTGTCGCGCTGGCTTTGCAACCCAACTTGTGGGTGGGTGAGTGGCATGATTGCGCGAGCAGGTGGAGCTGACAAATCACTCGTGAGCAATACTTAAGCACACCACCTGCATTGCACAACATAAATAAATAGAAACTCGCTGTTTGGGGGCAACACTGGCTAGAAACTCCTCTTCCTCCTCCGCCTCACAGGGTATATACGGGCAGGGTACGGGGAGGGACGAGAGAAGGAAGGGGAGGAGAACTGGCAGCAGACGGGAGGAGGAAGGAGAGGTGAGGAAGGACTGGTGAAGGGGGGGAAGAGGGAGCAGGCGATTGCTTTGAGCAAGCCGGAGCTGTAAGTACCTCTTCGAACGACATAGCACACAACTGCCCTGCACAACCCTCCCGAGGTGCTGCACAACACCCCCACGCAACCCGCCTTGCACATACTGTGCGAACTTTTTTCCATAATGTATCATAGGTATGGTCCCAAGGCCAAGCAAGGGTCGGAGGCCGACAACGGCAGAACACCACCCGTCGGGATCTTTTCACGATGTGATGGGGACTCGGTGCTCCTCCCGGCGGCAATGGAAGAGGAGGGAGGGGACGGATGAGGAGGGAGGAGGAGGAGGAGGAGGAGGACGATGTGGAGGAGGAATTCGAGCTGATGATGGCTGCCGCAGGCAGGTCCGGGGTGCGGAAGCCAGCCAGCTCGAGCGCGCTGCGCAGGTCGTCGTGGTGCACCTGGCCGTCGTCCTGGCGCGAGGGGGGGCTGGAGGCGGCCCAATGGCGGTCTTCGGGAACCCTGAACCCAAACATGCCGCCATCTCTTGGGACGCATTTTGTACTTCCGTCGGCTGATGATGGTGGAGCCGCTGCCGTCTTGCTGGCCTTCCACCGAAGAAGAGACGCCAACTCCCTCGATCCTCCAAGGCGACGCCACTTCTGGAGCGCCCCAAATGGGGCCCACGCAAAAGGGGTTGGAAGATAGTGCCGCATCGCCGACGAACAGGCAAGGCTGTGCAGCACAACCCAAACCCGACTGAGCCGACGGCGAAACCGAAACCGACGGACCCAACACAGCCTAACTTAGAGAGGCGCAACGGCGGAACAACTGGCCCAACCGAACCGACCGAATGCGATCGACTGCGGACAACCGAACCAACTGGACCGCAAACACCCTTGACCGGCGATGCACCAGCGGCGTCAAGATGGAGAAGAATAGGCTCCGGATCGCTCCACATCGCCGATGAAACAGCAGTGTGGTGCTATCCTCCGACCATATCGACTCCAGCTTCATGTGGGCGGCCTTGAGGGGAGCAAGAACGAGCCAGGGCCCGTGCGAGGGGGGACGCTAGAATTTTCCCTTTGCCGAACATTCCCCTCGACCTCGGAGGACCTGGATAAAACCGAGACAGAAGCATCCAGAGCGGGACCGTCAAACAACTGCTCAGGATGAAAAGCTCGCCCTAGGGGAAAGGTCGGGACTTGCGGGACCCCGTGCTGAAAGAACCAGGCGTCGGAGATTTGAGGAGGGAGGTTCACAGAGGCCTCCCAAGTGGGGGCGAAGTAGAGGGGGCTGCAGGATCGCGCCGCATCGCTTATGCATCGCCGATGCGTCGGCGATGGCGGTGACGTATCGGCGACGTCTGCGTGGGGAAAACCAAGCCCTGCATCGAGCCGCATCGACGATGCATCAACGATGCGGCGCGATCCTCCGACTCCATCTGCTCGTACCCCATTTGGGAGGCCTGGAGTTCTTGAGCGTTCAGAACAGCTGTTTCAGACATGCTAAGCGAGCAGGCGATCTCTGGCCGCTTCTGGTCCCCGCAAGCCTCTGGGGACGCCGGGGGGGGGGGTCAGGACCCTGGGCCGGCAGCAAAGCCGACCACCTTCTCCTCCTCCTCCTCCTTCTTCTCCTCCTCCTCCTCCTCCTTCTTCTCCTCCTCCTCCTCCTCCTCCTCTTCGCTCCTAGCTCCTCGCGCCTCCCCCTCCTCCTCCTCCTCCTCCTCCTCCTCCTCCTCCTCGCGCCTCCTCCTCCTCCTTGCTCCTCCTCGCTCCTCCTTCTTCCCCCGTGTCATTCCTCTTCCGGCCGGGAATCCTGGACCCTCGATGGCTTGCTTTTTCGCGGGCCCCCGGAAGTCCTAGCCCTACGCCAACTGACTTCTGATTTGGCGCGACTCACCGTCTTGCCGCAGCGGCTGCGCTGGGCAAACATCTGGTGGTGCAATCGTATCTGGTGTTCAACGAACTCTTCTTTCGCCAAAATGCTGCCAGGACGGTCCGGTGTGGAATGGCGATAAGAAGAAGGACAGCGTTGACGTCCTTCCTCCGCCGAACCCCAGACGGAGGAGGAGGGAGGAGGAAGGAGGGAGGAGGAGGAGGAGGAGGAGGACGAGGAGGAGGGAGAGGAGGAGGAGGAGGAGGAGGAGGAGGAGGAGGAGGAGGAGCATGAGGAGGAGGAGGAGGAGGACGGCGTTGACGTCCCCAGGGCCGCTGCTCCAGCCAGGGCCGCTCCTGACGGCGCCAGGGGCTGCAGCGAGAGGGCCCCCGAGAGCACGGCAGCGCCAGAGGCCTGGGGCGCGCTGCTGGGCCTCGTGGAGGCCCCCAGTCTCTGAGCATCGAATGAAAAATTCGAACATCATGCGAAGATCGGTCTGAATTCCGTTTCTGGCAAGATAGTTATGTACACAATTTTAGCGCAGGTGGGAGTGACAGGTTCGCAGCAGCAGCGCTTCCCCACCTCTGCAGCCAATTGCCTCAGAGGCCCCACAGAGGGCCGTGCTAGCAACGCGCATTTTGCATTGTACACGCGTTGAGTCTCGGAAAACACATCATTCGGCGACCAGCGAGGAGGGGGGAAAAGAGAAGGAGAAGGCCTTCTCCGAAGGCGGCGGGGCTTCTCAGCAGACCGCTGGTCTCCTGAGAAGCTTTCTCTGTCTTCGGGGGGGGGTCAGACAACTTCTCGGAACGCGGGAGGACTTCCGAGCCTTCTGAGAAGGCCCGCCCCTGCTCACTTCCCCCCCAGAGCTCGCCGCCGACCCATGCGCGCTGGCATGGCGCTGAACTCGCTGGCCAACCTTGCCTTCCCCAGGCAGCGATTTATACAGTCAACCCGTATAATATGGACGCATGATGAGGAGGCACTGGCCTTGGGAAGGCCACGTCGAAACTTTGCGAGCGGGGCGCGGCCAGCGAAAGCGGCCAAAGATGGGCCGAAGGGGGAGGATGCAAGGGTAACCTTGCAAACTTCCTCCTTACTATGCGGGTTCACCGTATAGGCTGTTTCCGTCCAGTCTCGCGGGGCCGCACCTGTAGGAGGGTTGGGTTGGAAGTGTTGCGATACCAGGCCCAGCCCAACTATCCGACGTAGGTTTTTTTGTTCGTTTCGTTTTTTGTTTTTTGTATACATCATTTTTAACCATATATACATATATATATATATCGTTTCATCTTCTGTTTTCCTCGCAGCGTGCCTTTCCGAAAGGTCTGGACCCCTTCGGGACTGACTTTTCATCCCGAGTCGTGCTTTTGAAGGCCCTGGGGCCTGACGATGGCCACCCCCCACAGGCCGACAGTGAGATACCCTATACGTCGTTGTGATGATGGGGGGCAGGAGAACGAGAAGAGGGGACAGGGAGTTGGACAGCGGGACAGGCGGAACGCAGAAGAAGACATGCGGATGTCGTAGGATGTAGGCGGGGCAAGGGGGGAAGAGGAGCGGGAGGATGGGCAGGAGGAGGAGGAGTCAGAGGAGAAGCAGGAGGGGTCGGGATGAGGACCGTGGTAGGGTACGGTTCGTAGGGGGGGGGCGGAGACGGGGGAGGGGAGTTGGACGATGAGGAGGAATGATGAAGAGGATGAGGATGGGAGTGAGCTGTGAAAACATCTTTGCGCAAGGGTCCTGGACCTTCTGGAACACGCTCCGCCACAGCGCCTCGCCCTCCAAATGGCGGTCGGCTTCGGTGGTCTGCACCATCTTGGACCTTGAGAACTCACGCTGGCAATCAAACTCGTAACTTCCTCTCAGGAGGCAACCACAAGGAGGTCTTCGTCGGAAGGATTTGGGAGGATTGAGCCCCATTGGGATTCTGCTACGCCGGATTAGGCCGCGCATGAAGTGGGATTAAGCCGGACAAGCCGGGATTAGGCCAGATTAAACGGGATGAAGCGGGATTGCGCCGGATTTCGGACCAGGGCAAAGTCAGAATTCCACCTCCCAAGAGGTGCATCCGAACCGAATTCCTCTGGGTGTGCGCTCTCGTCATGCGTGCGCATGTCTTCTTTGCTTTGCATTTCTTTGCATCGCTTTGCACTACTTTGCATGCCTTTGCGTTGCTTCGCAATTGCTTTGCATTGCGCTGCACTTCTTTGCCTAGCGTTGCATTGCTTTGCGTTGCTTTGCATGTCTTTGCGTTGCTTTGAATTGCTTTGCATTGCGTTGCCTTGCTTTGCATTGCATTGCGTTGCTCTGCATTGCTCTGCGTTGGTTTACATTGATTCGCACTGCTCTGCACCGCATAGATTGCGCCACTTGGATTGCAGCACCGAGGCTGCACTACATTGATTGCACCATCTGGATTATGCATCGACTTCAAGAACTCACTGTTAGGAGTCCATGCTGGCTAACGTGTGTTGTGTTGCGTTGCGTGTACGTGTTTTGTTTGTGTGGTCTGTCTGTCTGTCTATCTGGCTGGCTGGCTGCCTGTCGGTCTGTCTGCCTGTCTGCATCCCTGACTTTATCTTTATGTCTGGATTATTATCTCTCCTTCTTTCTCCTGCTCCTTTCAATTATTCTCTCCAGCTCTCTGCCTTTCTTCCTCCTCCTCCTCCTCTTCCTCCTCCTCCTCCTCCTCTTCCTTCCTCCTCTGTGCTCCTCGCTCCTCGCTCCTCCTCGTCCTCCTTCTTCTTCCTAGCTCCAAGAGGGCCTCCGATGCTTCACGATGGCCTCCAAGATGGCTCAAGATAGCCGCCGATGGGTTCGGTAGAACTTCCAGCATATATCCAGGAGGCCACAGGACGGCTCCAAGTGCTCTCGGAGGCCCTCAGGCCAAGGAGCCCAACCACTCCAAACACGTACGGCAAATCCGCAAGTTTTGCCTTTTCGCCGTTTCGCTTCCGATGCGTCTTGCGGCCAAGGGTGGCCCAAGACAGGCCCCAAAAAGGTGCCTAAAAGAGGCCCCCCTCCCAAACGGCCCCAAAAGAGTGCCCGAGAGATCGGCCGAAGAACGCCCCAGGAACGCTTCAAGAGGCGATTATGATGGCCCCGGGGTGGGGGGGGAGGGCTAACATGGAAGACCCCCCTTCGTTTACCAATAGCCTCTAAGATGGCCCCAAGAGGCCCTCCTGCCCCCCCAGAGGGCCCCCAAAGAGCCCCAAAAGGGCGCGCCAACATGGCCCCAGCTCCGCCCAAAAGAGCCCCAAGAACCAAGATCACCCAACAGAGTCCCAAGAGGGTGCCAAGCGGCAATTTTGAAGGCTCTGTCCTCGTCCTCGTTGTCCTCCTCCTTCTGCTCTTCGTCCTCGTCCTTGCCTTCATCGGCTTCCTTTGCCTTTTGCTCCTCTCCCTCGTCGTTGTCGTGGTCGTGGTCGTGGTCGTGGTCGTGGTCGTCGTCGTCGTCGTCGTCGTCGTCGTCGTCGTCGTCGTCGTCGTCTTCCTCTTCTTCCTCCTCCTCCTCCTCCTCCTCCTCCTCCTCCTTCCCTCGCCCCGAAGAGGCCCTCCAATGCCCCTCTTTGCTCCCAAGGGTCTCTCTGTTCACCCTGGTTGCCCGTTTGTGCTACTGTATGTGTTTCTTCGTCCCTTTCTACCGTCAACTCTCATGTGGCGGCGAGCTCAGAGGGGGAAGTAACAAGGGACTGGCCTTTTTCAATGGGCTCGGAGGTCCCCCGGCCTTTTGAACAAATTTCCGAAGTCTCCCCCGAAACCTTCGAAGACTTCTCAGAACGCGCGAGGGCTTCTGAGAAGCCCCGCCGCCTTCTGAGAAGGCCTTCTCCTTCTCACTTCCCCCCTGCTCGCCGCCGACTCATGGGCAGAATTTCTGAATGGGCTTGTGTTTTTTTGTTTGTGTTCGAGAACGCGCAGGCGTGCCAGGCGCCGCCAGAGCGAAGCAGCAGGCCACGATCTAAATTAAGCCCCGAGCACGCAGAAACAATGCTGGTGGGGGTACGCGAAGCGTGGAGAATTATTTATCATGCCTTTCAAAAGTAATAGAAACCCTCAAGCTTAACGGCCGCCTTTTCGTATTGCAGTGTGCATACGGTTCTGCCCCATCGTCCATCCTAAATATGAGCTCGCACCATCCAAAACAGGCCAGTATCGCTCCACTCCTCATCCTCTGAAAGATACCTATACGATTACCCTGCGGGTGATAAGAGGTTGGGGTGGGGAGGGGGGCCAACAATGGGCAACAATGGTGATTGTTGCGTTGCCGCTATAGGCCGAAGGGAGTGTGTGACCGAAGTGGGTGCGTTCGCGGCCCCCCCGCGTGCCGAGTGCAACACAAGCCTTGAGCCGAAATCCCCGGATGGTAAAAGAATTGAAGGGGGGAGGACCCAACGTTTCACCCAATCGATCTCACAATGGACCCACTCTCGATCTCACTATCGATCCCATTCAACCGATATCATTATCGATCTCTTTATCGATCTCACAAGCGATGTCGTTATCGGTCTCACGATCGATCACACCATCGATCTCACTATCGAGCTCTCTATCGATCTCGCAAGCGATGTCGTTATCGGTCTCACGATCGATGGGACCATCGATCCCACTATCGATCTCACTCGATCGATCTTACTATGGATCTCACTCGATCGATTGCACTGTCGATCTCACTCTGGATCTCGCTATCGATCCCACTAACGATCCCCCTATCGATATCACTCGATCTCACAATCGATATCACTACCAATCTCACTATCGATCTCACGACCGATCTCACTATCGGTCTCACTATTGATCTCACGATCGATCTCACAATCGATTTTGTCATCGGTGCCACCATCATTTTCGCACCAGCGGGACACCGGGACACCGGCGGGACACCGGCGGGACACCGCGGGCCACCGCTTGCCGGAGGGAGAATCATTTGGTCCGGCCGGGACCCATCCACAAGCGGGACACCGGCGGGACAGTGGCGGGACACCGCGGGCCACCGCTTGCCGGAGGGAGAATCATTTGGTCTGGCCGCGCCTCAGCCACAGGAGACTTTCCTATCGCCCGCCCACGCAGCTTCGCCTCGCCCGCACGCGCGGCACGCACGAACACGAAACCGAAACCGATTTCCCGGTGGGGGGCTCTCCGTTCCATGTCGATCTCACCCCCAACCTCCGATATACATAGATATGTGTATGTGTCTATATATAGATGTATAGATGTATATTTATTTATCTATATGTATATATATATAAGAAGCTACACGTGCACGCTCGTTTATAAGAAGTTAACAATGTCCAGAGTACCCTGGCACAAAGCTGGACAAACTGCAGACGCGCGCGTCGTCGCGCGCGCCTGTCGAAAACCTTCTAAAACTTTGAATGTCGTGGGAGTTTCAAAACCAATTCCCCAAACACATATAAACAACTCATGGTTTTCCAACACGAGTGTTCAAGAGAAGCCTGTGCTCGCGCTCATGCGAATTTTGAAGCAAACCATCGGATCTCAACATCTCTATACCATGCTACCCAACGGGCCTCTCGCGCACGCATTTCGAAATCGCTCGAACGCCCGTGCGCGCGTGCTGTCGCAAGAATGACTTGCGCAACATGGGACGAAGTGCGCACGCGCGCGTTTTCGCGCGCGCATGCCGAACTCCTTCAATCAACGTCGGTTTTGCCAGGGTTTTCAAATCCAGTGTCCCGAAAACATATACGACACATGATTTCGCAACATCAATATTCAAAAGAGCCTGCATCCGCGCTCTTGCGAAACCTAAATCAAACCATCAAATCCCAACATTCTCCGCGCCGCATGTCGAAATCATTCGAACGCCCTTGCGCGCATGCTGGGGGGGGGGGGGGGGCGCGATCCGTGTCAAATAATACAATGCGGGCCACTCTCGCGCGTCAGCCGCGCGCGCATGTCGAATTCCTTCCAAAACGTTCATCGCCGACGCGAAGACGCCGTCATCGCCGTCATCGTCGTAGGCGTGATCAGCGTCGGCGCCGTCACTGACTGACCGTGCCGTCGTCGTTGGCACCATCGTCACCAACATCACTGCTATCATCATCGTGTCGGTCAGCACCACCGTGGCCCGTCGGTCGCGCCAAACTAATTAGCTGGCCGCTGCGCGCGCGAGCATGCGCGGGCTAGCGCGGCCACAGAGATGCACCACTTCACACCAAACACTCATCGCAACCGCCGCCGCATGGGCTTTGCAAGCCGAGCTGATGGTGGGTGGGTGGGGTGATTGCGCGAGCAATGGAGTTGACAACTTCGGGTTCGGCAGGGCAGATTGCACCATGCAGGTTCCGCCACCTAGTATGTCAGAAGACGCTGTTTTGGGCCGCCCACGCTGGCTTATATTGTGGATGCCACGACAAAGGACACCCTAAAAGTCCTACCATCGAATTAAACATGTGTTTACAAGGAAGGGGAAATGCCCTGGACATACATGGAAACCAGAGCTTTCACACATTTCTTAGACATCTGGGAATTCTTTGGCAACAGTCTTCCTCTCCGTTGATCGTCCTCCACAAGGCTACTTGTCGGTGTAGGAAAAGGAAGAGGAGGAGGAGGAGGAGGAGGAGGAGGAGGAGGAGGAGGAGGAGGAGCTGCGTATTCGGTGCTGCTTGCTTGCACGCCTCCAAGGACGCTGGAGGCCCAGGGGCGCTCGGCGGCTCTCGGCGGGCCGTAGGCTCGGGCCGCTGGAGACCGCTGGGGGCTGCTCGGGCACCCCGGAGCACTGGCCATCGCTCGGGCGTCCATGCCCTGTGCTTTTGTTCGGTGTCGTGCGCGGTTTTTTCTGCGTCAAAGGATCCAGGGACGCTCCTCGCTGGTCGTCGCCGAAGGAAAAACCTGCACACGTCCGAGCGATGCCAAGCGAAGCAAACTCTAGCTGGAGGCAGAAGGTTTTTTTTTTTTTTTTTTTTTTTTTTTTTTTTTTTTTTTTTTTTTTTTTTTTTTTTTTTTTTTTTTTTTTTTTTTTTTTTTTTTAAAAAAAAAAGAATAACAAACCATCCCACGCGAGTTTTTCACACGGAAAGGATGTCAGGGACCACGTCCGAGACCTTCGGCGACGATCTGCGAGGACCGACGGCGTCGACGACGGCGGCCGCAGACCTTCGCCGCCTCACGGCGGCCTTCTGGGCGGCGGTGTCCCCGATGTCGTCCGACAGCGGCCTGTGCACGCTCATTCGGAACCTGGCGGCGTGGATCGTTGGGCCGCTCTCGGGGCCAGGTGGTCTCCTCCTCGCTGTTCCTCCCACAGATCCGAGGCTCCGAGAAAACATGGAGCGGCCAATGTTTGGCCAATTTCGGCCTCCAGGGGCCCTCGCCGGGCCTCGAGACCGTCGAAAAACGACCTGGGGTGAAAAAACCGGCAGTGAGGGGCCCTGGGAGGCCGAGAACGTCGTCGTCGTCGTCGTCGTCGTCATCGTCGCGTCGTCGTCGTCGTCGTCGTCGTCGTCGTCGTCGTCGTCGTCGTCGTCGTCGTCGTTTAGTCAGCCTGCCTCTTTGCTCGAGGGTGGGGGCATTGGGCAAGGAACCGCTGGGTACAGGGCCTGGAAGGCGGCGGAACACCAATGAAGGCTTTGCAATGGATATCACCGCCGCCCTCATCGTATAAGGAATCTTCCAAAAGGGTCAGAAGCCTCTTGGGCACGTTCCTTGACGAACGCCCCCCACCGTATCTCTCCTCCTCCTACTCCTCATTCTGCATCTCTCTAGTTCTTCTTGTTCTTTCTCCTCCCCCTGCTCCTCCTCCTGAGTCCTGAAGGCAAGAATGTCGTTCAGTCTTTGCCCTCCCCTCCTCCTCCTCCTCCTCCTCCTCCTCCTCCTCCTCCGTTTGGCCGCTTTCGGGCCAAGGGGCCTCCCCGTCCTCTCCCTGCTCATCGTGTCAAGCTCTGTCCCTTAACCCCCGAGGATCAAGGGGGGCACTAGTCGGACGTTTCCAAGAGCTTCTGGCCCTCTGTGGGCCTCTGGGGGCATCCGCGAGTGTCTGGAGACCTCGGAGGGTCAGGATTCAGGGCGGAAGCAACGCTTGCCACTCTCTCCTCCTCCTCCTCCTCCTCCTCCTCCTCCTCCTCCTCCTCCTCCACTGCAAGCCCTCGCGAGAGGAGACATCCAGTTGGCAACTGGGTCCGAGGAGGAACGAGCAGCAGCGGCCCCAGGGGGCCAAACCACACGCCCAACGCATATGGAGACTATTCGGCACTGTCCTGGCCCGTCTCCTCTGTACTCTGAGCTCCACATGCCCGGCCTGAGACGCCCTGACTCGGGGCGACCCGCGCCGCCATGCCATTGCTGATGTACTGGCCAGGCTCAGACAAACAGAAAAACGTAATTCACACGACCAACCACGGTGCGGCCAAGCCCGGGCCTACGCACGTGCTCTCGTGGGCTGCGCGCACCGCCGTCATCCGGCAGAGCCGTGGGCAAGAACCGACAGAGACGCCGCCTCCTCATTCAGACAGAAGCCCGCCAGAATGCATCGGAACCCCTTGTGTGGAAGCCTCCCAACTGGGGCTTGAGCAAGATGGGTCGGAAGATTGCGCCGCATCGCCGATGCATCGCCGATGCGTCCGCGCCGTCGGGCTGGAAAAGAAGAACGGGCTGGAGGTCGCGCCGCACCGCGGATGCATCGGCGACTCGGCGCGACCCTCCGACACCATCTGCTCCGGCCCAATTGGGAGGCTTGGATTTACGGCGGGAAGCTCCACCAGGGGAGCTCACGCCGTCAGTGCTGCAGGGTGGCCGACGTGGCGCCGCTGGGCGCTGGTCTGCTATGAGCACCTCGGCGCCGTGGCGTGGTGCCTGCCGTGGCAGGCGAGGCTGGCAGGCGTGGCCGAAGGCGTCGAGGCAGGGGAGCGCTGGGCAGCGGAATGCTTGTACAAAACTTGAGCATGCGATTCACTCCCGTCAGCTCTCCGCCGGCCCTCGGCGGGGGGCGAGAAGGTGAACCTCTGGTGCCCCGAAGGATGAGCCCTGTATGGCACGGCGCGCTGCGACGCTCGATTCTTATAGATTTGTCGGAACTATTTTTTTCACGGCGTGGGCCCCGCATCTTTAGACCCCTCTGCTTCTCCTCCTCCTCCTCCTCCTCCTCCTCCTCAATCCCCTCCGCCTGCTCCGCCCCCCTTCTCCTTCTCCTTCCCCTCCTCCTCTCCGACGTGAGCCCCAGATCTCTGGATCAAATCCCCAAGGCCAGCTTTGCGCCGCAGGTCGTTATGCACGAGCCCTGGGGCCCGAGAGCGGCTGCTGGACACGGCTGCGACTGGCTGCGAACGAAGACGTCTGCAGTTACCTGCTTCGCGACGCTGAAGTCACATCGCCTGCTCAGGATGGAGAGACGGTCTCCGTGAAGGGGTCAAGACTCCTGGGGACAACGACATTAACAGAAACAAAACGTCGGATCTCTGTGTCCGCAGCTCGAACCAGTACCAGAGCGCGTTCCGACCAGGATTTGGAAGCAAATGCAACCGCGGCGCCGAACCTACATCCAGGAGGCAAAGGACAGCAAGAACTCTCAGGGTCCTCGGCTACACGCGGATTTGGCTTTAGGCAAGAAGCTTTTCGTGCGCAGGGTACCAATCGTTGCGCGCACTGCGACATTAACAACTGGCCCTCCCCGTCCTCCCCTGGCCAACCTCCCCCGACGCCGGAATTTCCTGCGCGACTCGCCACTCCGCGCCGCAGTGCGCACCCGTATCCCCGTGCCGCCGCTGCCATCCTGGCCCGAAGGGGTAGACGTCAGCCGTGGAATTGGGCTCGCGCCGCGCGCCGATGCATCTGGTTAGAACCGATGTTTCCGCAACATATCCGCACTAATCCAGGACTTGCGCCGCGCGCCTGTTCAAATCCTCACCCCCCTACCCTGGCGCCCGAACCAGTGCTGCTACTGCCGAGCCCCGACAACTGCACCGCCCGCCCTTGGACTATCCACCCTCATCGTCTTCTCCGTCCTTAGCGCGGGACGAGCTCCCGCAACCCATTCCGCGTTCTCCGCCCGAGGGCTCCGCAGAAGATCTGTTCGAGGATTCCGCCGACGACGACGCAAAGGCCAAGTGGGTGTATGCGACCACTGGCGGAGCCTGCCGGGTTGGCTGCGGAGTCTGCTGCGGCACTGGTCCCTGGCTGAACCACTCGGCTCGGGCGCGCGGCTTGGCCGAATCCGCGCGACGCCCTGCTCCACCTGGTGGCTGCTGCTGAGCGGCCTGCCCACGTCCTCGTGGACAGCCAGACCGTCGTCGACTGGTGCGGAGCCCTCCTGGCAGGAAGCCCGCCACAAGTCACGGGAGCTCGGGCCGATCTCTGGCAAAATCCATCGTGCAATGCAAGCCAAACCCGCAAGTCCCGAAAGTCGAAAACCATCTCGGCGAGCAAATCACAAAGGACGGTCAAATCACGCCGACCGCAGAGGCTTTTAAGCTCCACGCAAATGATATCTCTATGGCTGGAGCACGTCTACATACCCTGCAGCAATGTCACCGTCGGAGCTACGTGGTGACGCACATTCGCGGCGGTTCGCCACGGCACCGCTGTCGCGATCCTTGACCGTCGCC